CCTTCCCGCGGGACGGAGCCGCAGGGCGCGAGCGGGAGGCGAGAGGGAAACCCGGAACTACTGCTGCCCCCGGGGAGAGAGAAACACCCGCAAAGACCAGATAGCACAAACCTAGACACTCCTCCAGATTCAGCAGCATCCGTCTTGATGTATTTTTAGCCCTCATGTGTCTGACTGTACTTTGGACAGTTAGAGGAAGCACCTAATATCTTTTTTCTTCCCCCCCCCCCGGCCTACATGTGTTCTGTAAGTAGCTTACAAAGAAAGTCATCTGCGTGTTTTTCATCTTGAAAGGTCCCACTGTGGTTTTTTACCTCATAGGTGCTTTTCACCTTGGAGATGTTAAGAAAATAAACCACATCTGCTCACGTTTCATCCTGTAGGGAGTTGCCTTCATGTCTTAGTGCCCCGCCAGCTTTCTCGGCTCGCGGTAACCTGGAGGGAGTTGGCCGGAAGCAGATGTTGGGGCTGCTCATTGTGTTCTCCAAACAATTGTGCAAGCTGACATGAATTAGGATCGAGACGGAGAGCTTGTTTTGCCATGACTCTCGGGCCCCTGCAGCTAGACCTGGTGAAGACGTGAAACGTGTTGCATTATATGAGGTTGCCGCGCAGGTGACTAAGCCGAAATCCTGGCCGGGCTCGGCTTAGCTGGTAGCCAAAAACCTGCCACTCCGGACAGTCTGCGACTGATTACCAGCCGTCTGCCACCGAGGCCAAGCTCTGTTCACCCATTAACCCGCGAGGAGCCTGAGCTGGATACTTGGTGATATTTCCTTTTTTTTCCCCCCGCAGTAATGGTCACATTTCTGCTCTCTAAAGACTGATGAGTGCCATCAGGAAAGACCATATGTGCCCAGCTCTGTAAGGATGTGGCTGGCACAGTAGGAATCCATTCTGATCCTTGCAATCCAAAGAAATCAAAATAATCAATGAAAGGCCAATTGTCGGGGCAGACTGAAATCACTCCAGCTTGCCTCAGTGTATACATAGTTCTTAAATTAACCACAGATTCTCCCTGTCCTTCAAGACTTCTCGGCTTCTGCACCTGCCACATGCCTCCTTTGCAGCAGCTTTTCTTACCTAGTGTGCCTCTCTTTCATTGTTTTTACTTTTGTCTACTTTTTGACAGATTCTAACAATGTCAAAGCACTAAAGCTTAAATCTGGCTCGAATTTGGAAATCTAACTATTCCCCATGTGATTCTGTGCTTTTTGTTTTTCTTTGTTGGAATTTTTCTCATGTTACAAACAGTTTCTCATGTTACTTGAATCAAGCAGTTTTAATAAACATGAGCATTTCCCTTTGATGTCTTGAAAATGGATTATTCGCTCACTGAGCCCGGATTATTCTGGGTCTTCGGAGTACAGAATTACTGAGTGCTGCCTCAGCTGCCGGAGCAGATGTTTTCCCAGTTTGTTGGCTGGTCGGAAAACCATTGCCGTTTCGTTTGAAACAGAACAAAGACCATTCGTTTTCGCTCCATCCCATTATCTTCATGTATCTGTAAGTGAAAGAATCAATTTCATAGTTAGGACATAAGCACTGGGAACTCGGTGCCCCATGCAACGCTGCCCACCCTGAGTGACAAAACAAATCGCTGCTCGTTAGAGGAGTGCCCCGAAATTGAGGACAAAAGCGCAGGGAAGGCGAAAGTGGGAGAAAAGTGAGGCAAGTGGGGCAGTGCCCTCGGTGGCCGGGCACGGTCCCCTCCTGGCACCTGAGCGTGGCGAGCGGAGCGGGGCTGGTGACGGCACCCGGGTCGTCCGGATTACGGGACGAGGCCACGGCCGAGGGGTGAGTCCGAGGCCGAGCTGGAAAGTCAAGGCAGTGAGTCAGGGTCAGAGTCCACATCAACAGGGGACGTGGCCCAGCTGGGGCCTCGCAGTGCAGCCACGGCAGCGCCGCTCGGGGCGGCCGGGGACAGGACAGCACCGAGCAGCAAATCCTGCTGCTTGGCAGAGCCTCTTCCAGCTGCTGCTTCAAGGCTGGACACCCGCAGTGCATTGGAGGTGCTGTGGGGTGGCCCACGGGCAGTCACCAAGCGACCACATCTCTGCAGGACACTGGGGTAGACATGGTGGCCTGTACAAAATGCAAGAGCCAAAAGGATGCAGGGCTTTGGCTCAAGGCCCAGAGGCAGCGCGGTTGCACCTTGTCAGCTCCTGGCAGCTGCTGCACAGAGTCACACACCTCTAAAGGAGCCCATGTGTCGCAACACACTCCTCTCAGTTGGTTCAGACCCCTCCTGCCTCCCCAGCCCTCGCTGCTCTGTGCGTCAGCCGTCCCGGCCCCAGCCATCAGCGCTGGTGAGTAACACCCAACCTGCCGGCTCAGCAGTGCCTTGAGAAAGGGAGGCTTGGATCCGACTTGGTCGTTCATCGTTCTTAAACGTGTTCTTACGAGGACGCAATCGAAACTCATCTGATATTTAAGCAGAGAAAGGTGGAGAAAGGTGATTGATTGTGTTTTGCGCTGCTCTAGAGCCATGTTTTAAGCCATCAAATGAGCCAGGATTTACAGCCTCCTTGGGAAGCGAGTGCTTCTAGACACCACTTAGCCACTAAGGAACACGTTAGCGAACTAGGAATGGCAGCAAAATGGCAGCTTTTCAGGGGGCAAAACCCCACCTGACTTCCCCACATTGGATCCAGGTCCAAGTTCTGCCCCCCAATAGCTGAATTTACTATTTAGAGCATCTCAGATAATCTCATCTACTGCAACACAACTCGCAGAGGGACCTCCCGCACCCTGTGGTCGCAGACACTAATCGATGGCCACTTCTCAGCCTGACAAAGCCTCAAAGCACCACGGACTGCGAGTCGGGCTGGGAGGTAATATGCCACTGACCACCAAAATGGCAGCATTTTTGGGGGGAACGGTTAAACTTATAATCAAGTAACCGTGGGTGTGGGACTGAGAAGATTTGACAGAAGAGCCCCAAAGAGTCAAACTGAGATCCGCATGTTAAAAACACCATGTTCCAGTGAATTCATTATCTGCCGATCTGTTTATCCATACGTGTGGAAGAGCAAACCAAACAGCACAGCCTGCTTGTGGCAAGCGGCGACGGCCCTTCTGGACAAGGGCCACTGAGGTTTCCCCCAGTCAGAAAAAATGAGCCAGGAGCCTCTCCGGCAGGAACACCCCCATTGAGGGCCAGATCTGAAAGTGTCCCCAGCGGCTTGACCTCTCCAAGCAGCCACTTGTGGGTTACACGTGGAGACAACCAGGTTCTCGAGCCCTTCCGAAGCTTAAAGTGAATATTTAAGACCTTCCCAGCACACAGGCATTAAAAACTGCTTTTCATTCTTTCCACTTCTGTTGTTTCAGTTCTTTCCTCTGACGCCAGGTTATTTACAACCTCTGTCTCTGAACTTCGTAGTCACCGTGTGAGGAACATGGATCTCCTGACACTATCCCAGTAGTTAGAAGATGGACCATGTCCCGGGTGGGAAGGGCAATACTTCCACCCTCACAGCATGTACCTAGCAATATATTGACAGTAGCAGAAATGGAGCCAGGCCAAGCTTTGGAAGGAAAACGTGCAGTGGGAGGTTTTCTAAGGTCAGGGAACAAGTGAAAAATCCAACACTACAGGACCCTGCCTGTTGGCAAAGACTGCAGGGAATGTTGCAACCGGAGAACTGATAGCAGTCATGCTCTGGACGCTCCCTAAACTCCGCAAAGCTTGGGTGGAAAGGAATCTCTCTGGCCTGAAAATGCACACCATCATTTCCAGCATTTATTCAGCCTGAAGGAGCAGGCAAATGCTTTTGGAAAGACATTGCTACGACCGTCTGTAAAGCATTTCAAATAACCCGTCCTCAGCAGCAAATCTGTCACTCAAAGACTCATATTTACCCACAGACTGATAATATAATTTCATTCAGTGGATTCAGATGCCAAGCAAAATTTGAAGAGTTTGTAATGCAGGGTTTTTTTTCCCCGTGGGGCAAAAAAAGGTGTGGACTTGTTCTTCCTGCAAGCTAGTGAAAGGAAGCAGAACTGTTTAGGTGTTTGTCACCCACACAGGTCTGAGAGAGCAATGGCATTAGCTATTTGTGAATATTTTGTTTGGTTTCTAATACTCTGCTCTTCTGCGCAGTTCTTTGTGATTTTCTTGCCATTTCGCAAAGTCTCCTGGCAGCCATGAGAAATCTGCATCAAACCAAAGCTGCCCGTCCAGCTTCTCTTGGCACCTATTCCTAACGCCAGTCCCATTTCCAAACCGAGCCAGAGAAGGTATTTAGTACTCAGCACTGTAATCGCAGCAATCTAAGATTAGCAGTGCAGCTATTTGCCGGCTGTTCCCCGACCACTGATTCAGGAAAGAAAAGGATATTCTAAACATGCAAAGTCCCCAAGAGAGCTTCTTTTCATTATAACATCCACGCCAAAGTAAAACCTCTCCGTGCTTTAGCTGCTCCTTTATTGCACCAGTAGATTTCCATAAACAGGCTGCAAGACCAACTCAATTCCACAGCCTCATTTTCCAGCGCATAATGCATAAACAAGAGATTTCTGTGGCCCCAGGACTAGATTTACAGTGTTTGCCAGTCTCATCTTCAGGAGAAGCTGAGTGTGCGCGTACAATTGCCCTCTACCTTTGTACCTTCTCAGTTGAATTTCCTTATCTTTCCCTTCCTTCAGCCGCAATAAAAGGCGGTTTATTTGCAATGTGTTTCCTTTAACTTCTGCAGCCCTGCCAGCCTGAGCGGGGCAGAGTGCCGAGTGCGAAACACGAGGGAAAAACTTGCAGCGGGGGACGGGAGCGGGCGCCGCGGGGCTGCGGCCTCCGCGTTCCACGGCCTGCTCCGCCGCGAGTTCCCGCTGGGAGAGGCCTGCGGGGCCTGGAAGCGGATGGCTGGAAGCTCCGGCTTCGCTCAGCGCGGGCAGCGCGAGGAAAGCAGCGTCGAAGCTGCCGGCACGGCCGCGCAGGCCGAGGGAGGGACGCGCGGGTGCTCCCCGATACCGTGGCCCTTCTCGGTGCTCGTGGGGCTAGGCCATTTCAAAAGGTGTCTCGGAGCCTCCCTCTGCCCGCACGGATCCCGTAACCCGTGTGCCCTGTCGTTCCCACCAGCTCCTGTTGTGCCCCTTGTGCGTGCTGGTCCTGGTGGCACTTCTTGCACCAGGACATGGGCATTTGAAAGGTGGGAAAACATCTCCAGAAGCTCTTGAGGGACCCTAGCAATAAGATGGGCAGCCCAGCTACCAAAGCAGTGACACGGGCTCACAAATAACTACAGCCTTAGTACCTTCCTGCACGGGCACAGGGGTTTCCTATGGGTGTCTGTGCCCACACGAATCCCTGCCGGTGGGGGCACAGACATCCGACCTCTGCGCTGAACTGTGAGATCAGATCTCACTTAATGCTCGTAAAGGTTTGAAAGTAGAAACCTAAGTCTTTCCTTCAGCTGCCATGGAATAACTGATGCCAAGTGAGATTTCGGGGGTGGGAGGTGGAGGGTATTTCTACCACAAACCCACATCAACACCAACAAAAAGTCAGCAGCTCTAGTAAGCAACTTGCTAGAGAGGAAAGGCGAAAGGCTGAAGAATTACCTGTTCAGAAGCTATTCTGGGGGTTATTTTACCCTGTTCTGCTCATGGGATTTATTTTCCTCCTTGCATGAGGGGGCCTCTTATAGAAAGGACAATTTGTCCTGCTGTTCTTTCCTCCTCGCTTAATTGGGAAAACACATTACATTCATTTTTTTTATAATTCAATATTTCCTGAACACAATGGTCCATCTACTTAATATAAGCCAAGCAAGGCTGAAGAAAAGTGATTTGTGCTTGGAGCAGAGAGCAGTGAAGCTTGTGGCACCCGTCACCCAGATACAAACAGGTTTTGGGCTTCGGGGGGTAAATGCCTCCATAATATTGTTGTGATTTCAGTATTTAGTCACATTTCACTGTCCCGCTGTGTTTAGCAAACTACCCAAATGAGTAATAAAAACAACTACAGCCAGAAAGCAAAACGTTTTCCTGACCTATTTACCAACATTGGCTTCGGCAACTATCTAGATGGGCAGCAGCAGGTAAACGGAGCGGAGCCCAAGCGCCGCGGTGCTGACAGGCTGACTTTTGCCAGGCAGCCATGAGCATCCTGTGGACTTTGTCCATGTTTGTGACCTCGTGGCTTGCTCGTGGTAATCTGGCCCCGTGTTGCAGCCGCGCACCAAGCACAGGGTCTCCCCGTATGTATCTGAAACGCACGTCCGAGCTGCCAAGAGGAGGGCAGATAAGGAGAGGTGAACACAAGCACAAACCACCTGCGTGTTTTGCAAAGGAAAAATAGCAGAGAGGACTTTGTGGGCGCTTAATGGATCTATAGGCAGCTCAGTTCCCTATGTAAGCCAGATCTGCCAGGTTGCTTCCTAAAATACTGTGGTTTGAGGAACTGCGGCTGCAAAACCCCACGGCCTGCATCCACGGGCACTGCCTGGGGGAATTAGCCTTCCTTGCATTTGTGCTGGGGAAGCTAATGCGTTTCAGACCCACACAGATGATCTGCTGCAGGACCAGGACATCATGCACATAAACATGTCCTTGCAGCTTAGTGAGGGCAAGGAAATATCAAGGGATGAACTGGCTAAGATGAGAAAGTCATCAGTATGGGGAGCTACCTGGAACGTGCAGGAGTGCCCAAGAGTTCCCACGCTTTCTGTCAAGATGATGTACGGGATGAGAGAAGGGACTCAGGTGGCACCTCCCCTCTAAAAAACAAGCTCTCAAAATGGTTCAAATGGTTTAAAATGCAGATAAAGGAGAAAAGCAACATTCCCAGGCACTGCAGCATGCCGAGACCTACGGCTTCCTGCCAGCGCAGCCCGCACGTGCAGCAGAGCAGCGCTTCTCTCTACACAGGCCTGATGGTTGTAGCAAAGTGTGTTCTGGGCCGGTGGTTCAGAGCCTCAGCGAGAAAAATTTCCTTCCACGAGAAATGGCCCTTACTGCCCTCGTGCGGCTGTCTCTAAAGAGGGGCCTCAGAAATCTTAACACTTCAGGATTCATTCCTTTTAAGTGCTAATACAACTGCTA